GAAGATGAAAAAAAAATAAAAAATAAAAGGAGCGAAGCCAAAGATGGAACGTCTCTAGCCGGGCGCATCTAGCGTACATCCTCATTTAAATGAAATAAATCTTGTTACGAGTAATTTTCATCCTCGGCGTGGCCGTGGCGGGATGGAAGGGCTTTTTAAGCCGGTGGCCGGGACCGATGCGAGACAAATGGATTTCGTTCCGAGCCCCACCAGAGAGATGTGTCGCCCGCGTGGCCCCCGAAACTTGGTGGCGGGGAATTGAGACGTCCATTGTCGGCCGGGAGACGGACGGTTGCATAAAATGTTGCTCGAGACGGGGGGAAGGGTACTCGTGTTTTCAGAAACTCGAAACAAGATTAGGGGCCCGAATACTCGGTCGGGAGCAATTAAGCGGCAAGTTTCGATTCGATTTTCCTATTGTTCCCGGAAGCCGTTCCGGGAGGATGCTAGGCAAATGGAGGAGGAGGGAAAGAATGATTATAGATCGGTTAAAATATCTAGAGTAAGAGAAGCGAAGGGAGAAAAGAGTATTGATGAAATTGGAGAGAAAATGAAGAAAATATTCTCACGGGGGAACATTTTGAAGATGTTTGCTATTGTTGCAAAATGGAATGGAATATCCAAGGGGAAAGAAATACAAGAATTGTGGAAACATTTGTGGTAGAAAGATGGTAGCGAGTGGATTAACATTTGTAAACGAAGGAGGAAAAATATCGGTCGATGTTTTTAGAAGAAATAAAATTTTCTAAGATGCTGTATAGTCGAGCCAGCGCCTCCTTCGTCCATATTTTTCAACCGTACGATTGCTCTATCATCGTACAACGCTTAGTTCAAAAGGCTTAGGAGGGAGGAGGAATCGGTATACGAAATCTCGAAGATTTTAGATATCACGGTTAAAACCTGAAATTTAACCACGGCGCCAGTTCCGATTTCTTCGGCCACTTAGCAGGCAACAAAGCGTAAGGAAATAGTTGACAAACGAGGCCCACTACGAACAGCCACGACGAAAATTCCTAGGCCGTTATGGATTTATCAAGCGTCGTAATCTTGGAAGGAGTACTCGAGAAAATTATGACGAAGCATAACGAGGCCGACGTCATGAGTCACGTCGTTTAATGAACTGACGACTGAAAAAGAGAGAAAAAAAACTTTATAATGTACGCAACTAGAGAAAAGTATAAAGCAAATATGATCATCAATTTGTACGGCCCTCCAAACGAGTTTCGCGTCCTTTCGAATCGAAAGGAATTTTTACGAAAAACACCGTCATCTATCCGACAAGAGTGTAAAACTCTTGAGAAGAAACTTTCACTCTCGATCGAATGAGAAAATATTTTCTAAAAGAATTACGAGAGTGAACAAAAATCGGACGGAACGAACGCAGTGTCCATCCAAAAAGAAATTCGCACCTTTCGCCGGGGAACACTTTTCCAAGCGATTACAATCAAGGGAACAATTGAAACGATACGGCCGATCGACGATCCACGGTGATCGACGCGCGACGCTTATCGGTCGGCACGGATCAGACCGCGTGCAGTTTACCTAGGCCGATAAACGAAGCGTTTTCGTTATCGTGGAACGGATATTCCTGTTAGTCCTAATAGGGTTCGATAAACCAGATAAAGTAAGCGGCTTAACGGGCCGCCGGTAAAAATGCGAAGCCCGATACAGAGGAGTCGAGCGTGTAACAATTTTTCCTTTTTTTTTTTTTTTCCTTCGCGACCCCGTTTCGACAACTTCGCTTTCGTTACGCAATAAAGCTCGTACCGAGAGAAGAGAAAGATCGCCACGCCCCGCGGCAGCCGCTAAACGTCATCCACCTTTTTTTCACCGACCCACCCCTTAATCCCATTTCATTCTCTCCAACGAGGGGAAAAGTCTTCTTACGATCGCGAGTAAACACCTAACCGTGCGTTATGTTATATATACACCACGGAAATCTATTGAAACGAGATAGGAGAAGGTAAAGAGAGAGATTTTCAACGAGGTCGAAACTACACGCTCCCTCTTTGCTCGGTTCCTTTCTTTAAAAAAGGAACTCGACCAACCCCTCCGTGTCTCGAGTTTCCACCCCCACGGCTCTCTCGCGCTGACAAAGTGGATCGATCACGTCACTGTCTTCGCCTGTACACACGCGTTCTCGAAAAGAGAGGGGAAACCTAGTTTCCAAACGCCATTTTCCCAACTTTTCGCACTCTCTTCTAATCCCTTACATCGAAGAACGCGGCATTTTGGTTTTTCATTTACATATGTATTACGTTCTCGAGACGAGGCATTGGAAACTTTTAATCGCGAGATGAGAGGAGTATTATATCGCCGTTGGAGCAACTTTTCGGCGTGAAATACATTGGGGGGCCGCGTTAAGTAACGTATAAATATGATAATTTCGCGGAGAGAGGGAAACGACACTCGTAAATCTGACGTTATGCAAATGTTCGAGGAGTCCTCCGGCTTCCTTAATTGTCGCGAGTTTTTCCGGTGGAAATAAAAGATCTCTTCTCTTCAGGGAAAAAAGGTTTGACAAATATCTGTTTCGAAGAATGGGTTCGATTATACGTATACTTTTGTCAATTATCGAACGAACAATTGAATATTCAAAGGATGGAAGAAAGATATTGTAACGATTTTCGTTAGAAGGAGTGGCAGGAAATAATGATTGATCGGAGAGGCTTGATAAAATAAGGATTTCATTGATTGGTTATGATGTAACGTGTTTCTAATAATAATGGAATGCATAATGCGATTTCAAATAAAGAAAATACAAAAAGTGTTAAACCATGAGCGCGACGTCGCACAAGTGTGTAAACACATTTGACGGTAAAACTTTCAAGAGTTGCTTTCGAAAGTAAACGTTGCATTGACAGTGATTGCTCGATAGTAGTAACTTTTACTCTCAAAGTGTTCACTGACAAAAAATAATTGTCGAGAGTTTTATCCTCGAATATTCTTTACATCGTGATAATTTTAAACTTGGCATTATGATAATTTCTCGTGACACGAGTTGAAAAACTTGGATTGGAATAATTAATAATTATTGCCTTTTCTAACGAATTTTTAAAATATCTGCATTTAAAATGGCAATAAATATGGCACGAAACACGGTCTGATCCCGTAGGCCTATTTGTAATATTCATGATACAACTATTAAACAACTATTAAACTACCTGAGAATTATTCGAACGATATGACATATTCATAGGAATGATAATCGTTATTTTTAATAGGAAATTTATTTGCATGGTTGTAATAATTCAGTGTTGTAACACATCCTACGATATTTTATATCCTGTTGGTATAAAAAAGTGTAAATGATATATAATTACGCCTCGAAAACAAACTTGTTAATCGTTTGAATGTAACATAGAACGTAAAAATCGCTTCGAATTGTTGATAATTTTCGAAAATAATAAACGATTTTATAACGATTGACAAACATATTTTATTCGCGTATAATAAAACGAAAATCTGACGAGAGTTGTCAATTTTACGAACGCTTATGACAGATGGATAAACGTTTCCGCTCTAGAATTAATCTCGAAGAAAAATGAACTACCTTCAGACACACGTCAATTATATTTTACTTTGCGAAAGAATAATCGCTATAATTATAGCGATTTAAAATCCTTAGAATTCTTTTGCACAACTAACGATCATTGGATTACAAGTGACAAGTTTAACAAAGAAAAAAAATTTTGTAAATAATTTTTAAAAAAATCCGACTAATTTTTTCATTCTAATATATAATTCGCAAACTTATCACTTGACAATCTACTGATAGTTTAAATTAGAAGATAATTAAGAAACGCGAAAATGTTAAAGTATGCTTAGAAAATTTTCATTTTTCTGTCACAAAGGAAGGAAAAATAAATAGAAACAACAACAACATAAAAAAAAGAATTATATATTGATGAATAAAATTGTTAGACACTTGTGTGAAAATCAGGTATTTCACAGCAGCCGGCAATTTGTTCTGCAGTTATTGATTGGACTTCACCTTCACGCTAGAAAGTTAACATGCCGTAACGGTGGGATTACACGAGCGAAATTAAACGTCAACGATAGGCCAGTGCGAAGAAATTGCTCTGCTCCACGGTATAATTACATACGTTACCGCGCACACTTAATTCTATAATGTAATAGCCGGACACGACGAGTCCCAACGACGAAACATCGTATATTCAGCGCTACAAATACCGAGAAATAATCGATAATACAAATCGTTCGAGTCGTGAAACGGCCCCGTGCACTCACGCGGGAGATGCATTTTCGGTAATTCGTTTTCACGATAAAGACGCATCGGCCGTCGTCAAAGGTAAAACGTTTTGGAGCCACTCGATTTATCTGGACGTTACTCGCTTTGAGGCGAGCAAAGAAACATTCCAGACGTTTACCATCTCTCTCTAACTTTCTTCCCATTCAAGACGCTACTTTAAATCGCCAGACGCTTTCGAAGACCGACGCCTGTCAAATTCCGACAGATAAACTTCGACAGAAACACCAGACGCTACACCGGTACACTTCAAATGCCCGCCAAATTCGCGTCTGCCTGACGCTTATCGCGGCCATTTCCGATCACCTTTACGTATACACAAGATTACGATTTAATACGCCTCTAACGTCTCACTTGGAAAAAAGAAAAATAAACAAGTATGAAATTCGCGAAATTTTGGTTACTAGGAAGTAGCTCGCGATGAGTCACGTGCCAAACACGATGTTCACGGTATTCCAACGTACCGGCATCAAGCGGACCAGTTTTTTTTCTTTCGTGGTAACAGCTGTCCGAACTGTTGAAGGTCTTCGTATTATTTCCCGTTCGACGCACGAACGTTCAAGAAAAAAATATTGCGGCGCATTTCGTGTCGCGATCGAACACACGAGAAACCCGCAAAGTACAACGAGACCCTCAAGATACCTCGCTTTACCCGCATAAAGATACGATCGCGGTTTCGGGGGAGATACGCAGAAACGTGTAAATAAAAAAAGAGAATAGTACGACTCACCGTAAGACGACACGATGCTCCCTGCCACTCGAACTCCTTTGAAGAAAACTCGAAGAAATCCACAAGAGTCCACACTGGAATGATGATTGGCAGTCACGTAGATAATCACCACTGATGCGATTACGTGTCACTTGTCACAAGTCCGAAATATGCGTGAATAATATGTATAACCCTTTCGCAAAATGGGGCAGCAACGGAACAATGACAAATATCTCGAAAAGAGGAAATTAATTTACGAAATGCGTCGTACGATATCGTAGATTCGGGTGCCGGGCTGCGTCCGTGCGTACAACCGTTCGGCTCGGAGTCTCGCGCTCAACTGGTCTCTGCTCGTTGGCGCGGATTTCTCGTCGGCCAATCGGAGTCGAGACTGCGCGGCGCGGCGCGGCGCGACTTTGCCTCGTGTGTATCGTACCTTAGGTTTAACCCCCGTCACGGCACTGTCCCCCCTCCCCTTCCCACTGCGTCCCGCGGAAATGCGTGTCCCTATGCTCTCACTCCCTCCTCCCCTCCCCCCCCCTTTCCACTCGTTCTTTCTCTTTCACTCCCTTTCTCCGTCACTCTCACTCTTTTATCAGGGAATTGTACAAGGGTAGCGATGGGCATTCAATTTTCCCTCTCGCGGAGTTCCCGAATCGAACACTTCGTCGAACGTAATCGCGCAAACGTCCCGATCACTTCCGTGTAAGTTTCCGTAAAACGTTATTCTTGTTAGTCGTTCGATCGTCACTATGCTCCAACTTCTCCGTTATCCGAAAGTTTCGACAAATCATCGCGCGGAAACTTTGAACGTTCCGCCATTATGGCTGTCAAAGTGACAAGATTATAACCGTCCAACAACGAGATAGATTTAATGGATGATTCGTCGTTAATCTGTACTGTTCATCGTTGTAAACTTGTTACTTATTTAGCACAATCTTTAATAAAAACACATTTTTCATTCTCGCGTGCCGAAATTCGTATACACCCTCGAAAATTTGAACACTTCGATACACTCTCTACACACTTTGCCGCCATAATTATGTAACTGAAACGATGACAAATAGCGCCCTAAAAGAATGCGTTTTAGTTTGCTCTAGCGCCGCTAGGAGGCAGTTTAGGATTGCTCTTGCATTCGCCAATTGAATACGAATGAATTGTGTTAAAGTTTATTTTATATTTTGTTGTGTATTTTAATTATTAAATGTGAATCGTAATTAAAGAATGTATTTGATGAAGAAACGAGAAAGAGAATAAGTGTAATACATCGGTACTGTTTATTTTCTTCATAAATTGTTTAATACTTCTATTATGTACAATGGACCAGTAAGTTTTATTTTATCATCTCATTGTTTTTTTGTTAACATTATATATAATTAAAAACAAAATTAAATAGTAATAAAATCGATGATGCATAATGAATAACGTGATTAAAATTATTTTCTTTCGTATCATTATATACTTTTTTATTGAATTAATTGTCATATAAAATTCTAACCTCTAAAACAATGCATTCGTACAAATGCATGTCAATTTGATTGTCAAATATACGAAACATTGTTTTATTATATTTTTCTCAATTGATATGTGACGTGAATTCAGTTCAAAAGAGCATATAATATAGTTGACAGAAGATTTATAGTTTTGCATGTATAAGGGTGACTCATTTTAATCTATAAATGGATATATATGGGAAAGTACATTGAGTTGAAGGCTGAATATGTGAGGGAGGAAGTCGAGGGAGGCATTAGAATATCAAGGAGAAAGGTTGGTAGGAAACGAAACGTAACAGAACTCTATTATCAATAGTACTTGTTAGACTATCTTCTTTGACATCTTTACCCACCGAAATTCCACCCGAACATTCTCTCAGGTTAACTCCATTTAACTATCGCATATTCAACTTATTTAAATCGATACGGTTTATATTTATTTATTATGAATTGAAACGTGATGAAAGATATTACGTAATTATATTTATGAAGATTTGCTGTGCTGATAGGTGTACATATATCATAAATATATATTTACGAAATTATAAGACAATAGAATACATATACGTTTCAATCTGAGAATCTTTTTGCATAATTGTATTAAAATTTTTATTGAAATTTTTTACAAATTATTATTTAATGGATTATTTTATTGGATATAAAAATGCATAATTGTGCATAATTGTTATTTCAGTCGTAATCAAGTTATTATTATTTATGCTAATATTATTAATTAATCAATTATTATGCAAAAACTTCTTGATTTCAAAGATTTATTACCTCATCGAATTTTCTTCCAGCTTCGTTTAATCAATATCGTAATAATATCTTGTCTATTTGCACAATCCCTTTCACAATCAACAAATAACAATTAAACGACGTGTCTCACATTTATCATTCTTATTGCATTAATTGCAAAAAATACGAAATTCCTCAACATACCTACGTACATCACTTGACGCATTTACCTCGATAAATATTACTTAAAAAAACTCCGTGGTATGTTTATTCGAAACGGCGAGGACAAAATATCTCTGTTTTTAATGGTTGTTCGCCCGGCTCGGTTTACCGTCCCGAATAAAATACAAGCTACGATAAACAATCATAAAATACAAACGCCGATAAATATTCTGTTTATTCAATAACAAAAAAAGCGGCCGGCCTTATAACGTTGCACCAACTATCCATCCCAAACTTAAAATCCCCGGATGAAATCTTTTTCGCCGGTGTAACGTTACGTAACTTTTACGCAATTTCCTGCAGACATAACAGGATACGGCGAGTGAGAGAGAGAGAGACCGAAAAAAACACGAACGACGAAAGAAAGTTCCCTTCGTATCGACTCCCGTGTTCGTTTATTACGACCTATAGCCGCATATACTTACGATCCTCCGCGTCCATCAACCCTCTGCCGGCATCCTCCGTCTCCGTTTCTTGTTTCTTTCTCCCCCCCTGTATTTCCTCGGCAATTCCACCAGGGGTTTCGCATAATGCTTTTTTCAGGCCGCCCTTCGTATATACACATCGGTCTAGTATCCCGTAGCCCCGCTCGCCCCGAGTGACGCGAATTTTTCCCCGAAACGACTTTCCATTCGTGCACCACGGAATCCAGTCGGCACCCCCCTCGAGGCGCGCTCCCGTGAATTATCCGAGTGCCTTCGGTAATTCCGCTGGGAATCGTTTTGCATAATGTTAAGAAAATACTCGTAAAAGGCTGAATGCCCGTTGTTACCCGCGTGATATCGCGTTACGATCGGGCAATCAGGCGGAGAGAAAAATTTATTTTTTTTTGACTCTAATCTTGCTCTTGTTGCTCCATTAAATCAACGGATAATTATAAATATTCGATCGACGAATGTAAATATGCAAAATTGAGGCGGATTGAAAGTTAATCCTCCAAGTTATAGCGTATATGATAACGTGGAAAGAAATTTGAATCTACTTACTTGAGCGCAAAACGACGGCGTTAAACCGCGCCGTCGCGAAAACGTTTATGGGAATAAAGAAACTACTTCTCGGTCCATTACTGCAAGTTAATTGTGCCGACTGTTGAAGATTCCCGGGGAGAAATCGAGGGATGGGGTGGGCGGTGTCTTGTGTAAATAGAAGAGTGTCGCGGAAAGGGAGGAGGAGGAACTCGGCCTTGAAATTTCCACCACGATGGGTTGGCTCGGTGTCGCGTTGGTTTGTCGATAGTGGCATTAAGCCCTCGTTAAATACGGGCACGGCCTCGTCGTAAAAGTATATTTCAAATTCGCCGCCTGGCCGGGGATTAAATCGAGTTTGCGGTGCTTGGCCGGACAACAATGGCAATTCAGTTTTGCATAGGAACGAGGAGGTTGGCCGGGAAACAGACTTTCTTCTCGCATTTAAACGCGCGCTAGGAAAGTCTTGCGAACTTTCCGCGGTCGTTGCTGTTTGACTTTTCCTTCAAAGGGTTTAAACAGGCCGGCCTCTCGTTAACGTTAACCGGCGGCAGCCCGGCTTTGATCACGATTCGCACCCGATGTGCAATTAAAAGCGCGTCATAGACTCGCGTTAACTACGTTCCATCCACGTATTCGCATTTGGCCGAAATTATCAAACGAACGAAGGTTTCGATTATCAACGAACTGGGTATTACGAACGCGTTTAATAATTCGCCGATAATTAATGCGAAGCAAATTACGAAATAGTGGGGGGTTCTGTAATCATCGTTTCAAATCTCGTTGAAAGAGATCACGCGCAAGAAATATCGTATCGTTGAAAGTCAAGGTTTCGAGATCTCCACGAAAGATAATCGCCATTCTCTTTCAGTGATAACTGAATAGTTATCGAACTTGCGTAGGATTTTGAGAGAGATAATCCGACTCGAGGTAATCCGTGAAGGACACTCGAAGATTGCTTATCTCGTTTGCGGATAAGAAGATTATTATATATTCCTTTCTCGCAACCTTTCCTCTTTTTTTAACAGAGATATCGAACGATCGATGAAAAGGATGAGGAGGTATCTTTTCGTTTCAGCGAAGTAGCCGGGAAGCATAATTTCGAAACAGAGCTCGGCTTATTTCCCGCAAGTGGAATAACCAGTGAGCTCTTAACGAGCCCCTCCTCGTTACAGTTATCTTGAAACACCTTCACCGCCACTTCGACCTTTGCTCCACCGAAACACTGTCTCTCTCTCTTCTCAGATTTAGATCCAGACGCCCTTTAATTTCGTTCGAAGGGAGGAGGACAATTCCTCGTTGAAACCCCTGAGCGAGTTACGATTAACTTGTTTTTCCGACCGCTGGATGGTAGTCTTCCTTATCGGCGTGCACCTTGCCTCCTGTGTTCCGCCTCGAGTTCGCCTCTTTATAGGCGAAGAGGAGGCGACACCGGAAGTCGTTGTTCATTCGCCGACCACCAGACCGGGAATCTTGTTCTGGAACGGCGGCTGTAGCGGATCAGAAACTAGTTTCCCTTCACCTGCGCCCCTCTCTCTTCCTCGAACTCGGCTCGAGCGGGGAGGTATCGATCGATTCGCTCGATTAGGATCCGCGCTTCGCCTCTTTTACGATCGAAACGATCCAGCTGTGTTTATAGATCGTTGTATAGACTCGTTGAGAAGTGGACGATTTATTTTTCTACTTCCATGTATCTCGTCGAATTTTCTTCATCCTTCTGAATTTTTCTTGAAATTAGAGATCCATCGAAGTTAAGAGTATCGTGGGATCGTTGAAATTTTTCTGATCGAAATTGAAACGTGGCGAACGAAAATTTGGATTATTTTGAGCAATTCTCGTCATTTTTCGAAATCCAATGCGTCGATATCTCGAGTATGCCAATGTCTAAATTTAATTCTACCTCTACTTCTTTTTAAGTTCTACCATTGTTCGAAGCAATAGAGGATTCCAATCGCGAAATTCTTCCGTGGGGATCATTTTGAAAACGTTTCGTTTCGTTTCTTCGAAAACAGTATCGTTCGGCTGATAAGCTGTTCGAGCCGTGTCGTAAAATTTCGATGCGCGCTCCGTTTATTCGTATACCGGTTTTAACGATTCGTAATATTAATTTCAAGAGGAACGTCAACTATTCTTTAACGACGCTTTACACCGCGTTTGCCACGGGAGAGGCAACTTTTCTGAGACTCGAATTTAACGATCGCGCTTTATCAAACCGGCCACGGGGTTAAAAACTTTCCTCGCCGCTGTATTCACAAGTGAAATAATCGATGATTCTCCGTTTTCCAACCCGCGTATACATTCATATCTCTCCGCCGATGCGATGAAAACAATATTTTCGCGGCATGCGTTATTTGTTCCCTCCCCCGTTTTCGAAACTTTATTCGCGATTTTTTGAAATAACACTCGAATGAAAAGAATAATAATGGCGGTGAAATTCTATTTGTTTAAAAAGCACGATGTAATTTCGTATCTACGATATGTTTGCGTAAATACTTTTCGACGTTTTTTATTCTCTTGGAAAGACTTTATTCTCCTTTGTTATCTTTTATCATTCTTATTTTTCTAGAAATAATTTTAGAATCGGTTATTAAAGGGGAGAAAGGATGATTTATGCGATATCTTGTAAATGATCATGAAAAATCAACGTATTCGGGATTCAAGGAATTCTTCTAGGACGATGGGTGTATACTTAATCAAACGAAAATACACAGTTTCGTTTAGAAGAATTCATTCTGAGTTCTCATCGATCGTATCAATTGGTACACGAATATCAATCTATGCACTTTTATTTATCACATCACTTGTATACTAATTTACCACGATTTGACCATCATTCATCGATATTTTCACAAAAATTTGAGCAAATAAATAAATGAAATAAATCTAGTATCTGGCTCGAAACGCGTACGCGAATTGCGCCTTCCTCTCCGTTCCTTATCATTTGTACCAGATAGAAAATGTCTGGTAGAAAATAGTAGGTTAGTGTGTTCAATCGTACACAGATGCGTGACGAATATTTTTGTGCTGGTGATGGAAACGTGGGCACGATCCATACACGTACGTAATCGAATGAACGAGGAGAAAGCCTACATTCGAGGATATATTTCTCCGTTTCACGTGCTTTTTCCTCTATTCAAAAACGAGGAAAGTTTGCGTTCACTCAAAGAGGCAGACACGTCACACAGGGACGATTTAATTTCGCTTGATGCTCGTCGCAACAGAAGTTTGCGCGCCGTTATGGCAAAGGCGTGCTGTTTTGTACGATCAAAGGACTTTCTTGCTATTTACTTGCGGTGATGGAGGTAATGCTGCTCACCGTTCTCTGTTCCCATTTTATGCGCATTAATGT